AAATCGTCACTTCGACTAAGTATCCTTCCCTTGTTAGATTGCCTAGCAAACTCAGCATCCCAGAATTCGGGCTAAAGAAAACAACCGTTTCAATGGAAATGCTGGGGGTGCAAAGCAATACTACAGCAATTTCAGTAAAATGGCTTATTTTACCATAAAAGTATACTTTAGCCAAATAATAAGAATAACACTTTTGTGATTCTCGCGTTGATTTATCCTGATCTTGTAAATTGTTGCCGTAATGGAAAAAACTCTAGTCTAGCAGAAGTTACCTCATAGTTCTCATTCTTGATCAAATTACAGAACCGCCTTGAGCCAGCCACATTGCAGCGTTCGCCAATATTTATGAAGTTACTAAATGGTCCAACAATCATTGGTTCAAGTCCTGATAGCAGCAAGTTGCCAGCATTTGGGTCTGGGGGAGGTTGTCGGGGCGCAACTCCCTAAAAGCTTAATTTGAAAACCAAGCAAAAAATTATTGAACGGGAATTTTACCTTTACGGCATTTGCAATCGCTGATATATGATCTGGGGTAGTTCCACAGCATCCACCGACGATGTTTACCTAAACAACAATTATAAAAACGGACTTTAACAAGGCTTGATCCCACTCTTGCCACTAAAAACGCAAGAAGGTTTTGTAAAAGGCACTTTTTGTCAACTTCCAAAATCGTGGACTAAGTCTTCTAAGTTCAAAAAGCTCTTGTACATGATTTTATGAAGTTATAAGGTGACACAAATCAAACTGACTAAGCCATCCATAGCAAACTGCTTGAGAACTTTGGCCATGTCCTCGGGTGTCTCATCATATCCTCCAAGAGCATTTGGGAGACCTAAAATTATTTGATAAGAGTATTGATACAGTGGAAGTGCGTAGTTGTATAAATGATGGCAAGATTATGATTTAAGAATTCCTTAAAAAAATACTAGCCTTTGCAAGAAGTTACACTGCCTGGAAAAAAAGGGTTTGATATGTAAAATTACAATAATTAGTTTGCCTATAGACAAATACTTAGTTTGAGAGAAAAACCAACCC